ATCGTATCGGGGAGGTGAGCACACAATGATATGATTTTTTGTTCTTTGATGCCTGATAACTGATCCCTTCAGCACCTCGTGATCATACAGGCTGGTGTGCTTCTTCCATGTGAGCTTTGTTGCTTCTTACTCTTTAAGTTGAACTTTCTGTGAATGTGTATGTACATACGGAGAAAGAGTCTGTGCAGGTAGAAGGACAGAGTCCCTACCTTTTTCTTGTCAATTTGGCCTATGGCTCTGTCTTCTCAGGTGGGGTATCCCTGGTGGAACAGCTGCTGCTGGACCCTAAGCTGTCCCAGAACAAGCAGGCCTTGGAAGGCCTGGGAGACCTGAAGCTGCTGTTTGAGTACCTGACCCTTTTTGGTGTTGCTAATAGGGTGAGTCAAGTTAGGGACCCTTAGCTGAGCTCAGGGGTCTAGGCCCCTTGACCCTCATCTGGTACTGATGATGTCCTTGTCCCCACAGATCTCCTTTGACCTCAGCCTTGCTAGAGGACTGGACTACTATACTGGGGTGATCTATGAAGCAGTGCTGCTACAGACCCCAGCCCGGGCAGGAGAAGAGCCCCAAGGCGTGGGCAGTGTGGCTGCTGGTGGGCGCTATGATGGGTTGGTTGGCATGTTTGACCCCAAAGGGCGCAAGGTGCCCTGTGTGGGGCTCAGCATTGGTGTGGAGCGGATCTTCTCTATTGTTGAGCAGAGGCTGGAGGTATGTCCTAGAGAATGGGTAGAAAAATTCTGGGCGGGTGGCAGGATCAGAGCTGTCATTGAATTCCAAGGGGACAAATGGTATTGCTTTGGTCAAGTATGTGTCTGAGCCCCTGGGATCGCTCAGAGGCCTGCTTTGACTCTCTACCACCTAGAGTCACACTAGGGAACCCCCATGTGACCGTCAGCCCTCCTTTATTGCTATTGCTCTTAATTAGCTGGTTACTTCCCTTCTCTTTACGGTGGAACCACTTGTGTTTCCTACTTAAAGTCACCGTTCCCATGAGACTTTGTATGTTGTAAAAACTATCATTTAGTTACTGCTGTAACAAATGCCACAAGTGGGGGGCTTTAATGAATAGAAGTTTATTGTCTCACTTCTGGAGGCTAGAAGTCCAAATCAGGGTAATTTCAGCAGGATCAATTCTGCCCTTGTCAGTAAACCCGGGAATTCCTTGGTTCCATGGCTTGTCTATGACTCACATGGTGTCTGTCTTCCTTTAGGTAGGGCATGTGTGTATGCTTTATACCACATTTTATACAAATAACATGTGCTTATACATTGTTTTCCAAACCACAAAACTTGCTCACATGGGTTATAAGCAGACACAATGTTTATATTAATCAGCCCTACTAGATATGACTTAATTAATATAAAGCAGAAACCCCTATTTCTAAACAGAATTACATCTACAATTATAAAAAAATCAAAACAAAACTCACTGCCATTGAGTTAATGCTGACTCACAGTGGCCCTACAGAATAGAGTAGAACTGCCTCTGTGAGTTTCTGAGACTAACTGTTTACAGAAGGAGAAAGCCCCATCTTTATCCTGAGGAGAAACTGTTGGTTTTGAACTGCTAACCTTACTGGTCACAGCCCAACATATAACCACTATGCTACCAGGGCTCCTACAAGTATAGGGGTTAGAATGCCACACTTACCTGTGGGTGGGGAGGCATAACAATTATGAAAATAATTTCCCAGAAAAAAGAGGGGCAGCAACAGCATTCCCCAGCCCCTAACACACACACACACACACACATTCTGGGTTGTGCCCTCTGGCTGAAGGCTGAAGTGGAGGCGACATAGTCTTTATTTAGTGGGGAGATAGTGGAGTGGGACTAGAACTGCTAATAGTGGTTTGATTGCCCAGGATTAGGTTAGGAGTGTCACTTCTGGGTGAATGTTTTTGTGGGCTCTGGAGGTACTAATGTAGGTGATCTCATGATTACTGTAACTGAGCTTTCTTTGCTCCTGTCCTTGGTTATTTATTTTGACAAGTCAGATGTACATATCAGTATGTTCCTGTCTCATATTTTCTGAAAGCAATCCTATATCCAACTTCTAGCAGATGAGAAAACTGGGCCTTAGTGGAGCATGCTGAGCTAGACCTAGACTCTGACTCGAGCTTGTTGTTTGTTCCTTGAAGGTTTTGTAAAGGCTAACCAGCTGTGGCTCTATCTGCCCCATTCTCAGGCTTTGGAGGAGAAGGTACGAACCACAGAGACACAGGTGCTTGTGGCATCTGCACAGAAGAAGCTGCTGGAGGAAAGACTGAAGCTTGCCTCGGAGCTGTGGGATGCTGGCATCAAGGTACGATTCTTTTAATTTTAGGAACAAGAAGTCTAAAGGGGCAACATCAGGGCTGTAAGGTAGATGGAGTAAGGTTTCCCAGTGAAATTCTCATAGGACAGCCCTTGTTCATCTTTTTTTTTCTTTTGTGAATGTGTAATATGTTTATTAAGCAAAATAACATTCACCTAGTGTCATAGTAAGCAGTCTATTAACACAGTAGGTGGTTATAGCATTCTCTCCAATGCCAGTTGCTGGCTCAATTATAGATCAGGCCCTTAGAGATTCAGGATGGATCTTCCTTCCCAGTCACTGAAAATGGTGCTTACAGAAAACCAGGCACTGCAGGAGGAAGCAGGGCAGAAGGATGAGAAAATTCATTGTGTGCTATGAATTTAGTCCACCAGAATATGAAGGGAGAAAATCTTGCAGGCCACAGAAGGCTTGAGTTTTGGGGGAGAGGCAATGCAGGGCGCCATAGACGGTCCTACAAAGGTGGCAGCTAAGAACAGTCCAGGCTCTGTGCGTGTGGGCACCACATTCTCTGCGCCTCAGGTCTTGCTCGCAGTGGCGTCCAGTGAAATGGTAGAGGCACACACAGAACAGCCCTTGTTAATCTTGAAGAATGACCAAAGATTTTGTTGGAATGGAAAAAATAGTCCGCGGTGCAACTTTGCCAGCATATTTTTCCCAAGACAGATTTCAATTTTCTTAAAACTTCTTCCCAATAAAGTGGCCATGACTGTCCTTTGGCCTTCAAAAAAATCTATCACAATTAGCCCTGTGGTGCCCCCAAAGATCTGCAACCTTGTGGGCAGACCTCTCTGCCTCGAACTGAACTGGCCCATCACGTCTCCTGAAAAGCCACCATTTTGATTGGTCTTTGCTCTCTGGATCGTATTGGAAAATCCAAGAATTGTTCCTGCTTGTGTTTTCGTTAGCTTCTAGTTTTAAACACTGATGGTAAGATCAGCTCTTTGAGTTAGCTGAACTTCACGTAACCTTTTGGAACCCATCAAGCCAGAAGCTTGCCGAGACCAAAATGTTTGCTTGTAATTGATAATCATAAGTTTCTGAATTTTACCCACAATTTTTCTTTGTTGCTTCCCTCTATAGGTTGGCTCAGCTTTGAGGTCTACTTGATCCCTCTAAAATCTTGTTTTATGTTGGGCAACATTCCCAAAAACTTGTTTCAAAATTTCATTGGTTTGGAAAGCTTGAGTTTTGTTCAATATTTGATATTAGCCAGGACCTCAAAATCATTTTTCCCACTGCTATCAATGTATCAGTGTGTTAGTCCAGCTTGACTAAAGAAACAAATCCATAGACGCTAATGTGTATAAGAAAAAGCCTTATATAAAAGAGCAATTGTATATTGAGGAAAGATCCTAACCCAGTCCAGATCAAGTCCATAAGTCCAATATTAGACCATATGTCTGATACCAGTCCATAAATTCCTCTTCAGACTTATACAACACATGCAATGGAAGACCACAGGCCACTTGTGGATCCAGTGGCAGTGGAATAATTTCAGCGCTGGTGTTGGCCTTTACAAGGCTCCTCCAGCTCCAGGGCTCTGGCTCCATCAGTGAAGCTCAGTCAGTATGGCTGTCAACAGGAATATGAAGCAGAGAGAGTGTGCCCCCCCCCACCCCCACCCGCCAGGGAGGAAGACAGGAGTTCCAGAATCCTCAGGGGAAAGCCAGGCCCATACAGAGGCCTCTTTGGTGATGACCCGATTGACACGCTAGACTCCACCCCTTCACTTAAGTTGACAGGAGATTATGTAACTGCCACACTTAAGTAAGACCAAACTCACTGCCATTGACTCGGTGCCAATTCCTAGCAGCTCTATAGGACAGGCTAGGCTGCCCCTGTGAGTTTCTGAGATTGTAACTATGGGGATAGAAAGACTCATTTTTCTCTAGAAGAGCCTCTTTTGGTTTTGAACAGCTGACCTTGGAGTTAACAGTCCAATGTGAAAAACAAACAAGAAAACAGTCCAATGTGTAACCACTACACCACCAGCAGTCCTCTAGACCAAGACAAATATATTAATGAGATAACTTGTCTGTAGAGACCTATTTGAACACATTTTGTTTATGTCCATGTACGATCAGGAACCTCAGTAGCACTGCTTTTTGGTATATCTTTTTCTAGTGACTCCTATCATGACTGTGATTTCTTGGGAGAGAGCTAAGAGTAAGGTGCCAACCTGGGCCTGCAGGTGGTTTGGTTTTTCTGTGGGCAGCAAAACCCAGCATTCATCTCTGTCCTTGTCCCCTGCAGGCCGAGCTGCTGTACAGGAAGAACCCAAAGTTACTGAATCAATTGCAGTACTGTGAGGAGACAGGCATCCCACTGGTGGCCATCATCGGAGAGCAGGAACTCAAGGACGGGGTCATCAAGCTCCGTTCAGTGGCTAGCAGGGAAGAGGTGAGGTGGGCAGGAAGGCTGAGGGAGAGGGAATATATTTCATGTTGGCATCCCATGCCCATTCACAAGCCAAGCAAGTCTAGTGTAAGACTTACTGGCTCAATATTTGCTCAGTAATTGTCTGTTACTACTGTCACAGTAGGGTCAGACCTGCCACTGTGTATACCATGTCTGTAAGGGGCACTGTCTTTCCTGAGGTGTTTGATGGGGTCCTGCTAGGAACTAGGGGGAGGGGTGGGCACACAGGGAGCTGTTGTGTGCAAGATGCTTACATACCTTCTCCTCCCTTCCCCCACCCTGGCCAGGTGGACATCAGAAGAGAAGACCTTGCAGAAGAAATAAAAAAGAGAACAAGCCAGAACCTCTGCATCTGCTGAAATGATCCGAACGAATTAAGACTGGCACCGTTTGCGTCTCAGACAAAACTCTATCTATGCTCTTCAGCAGTTTTGCATATTTCTGTTCCAGCAGGAAGGGCTGAAGAATGATCAGAGCAGAAACGTTTTAATATTATAATTATTTTATTGGTAATCACGGGCAAAAATGGCCAGGTGCTCTGCCATTTTTCCAAGAAGGCTCCGGGACCTAATGCAGACTATGCGCCTCTCAGAAGGCCCCGCCCCAGATGGGGGGGGATGACTTTCCAGAACCAACCGCGGAGGGCCAATAAAACGCTGCCTCAACTACTGCAGCCTGCCTGTGTCATTGAGCCGACCCCTCCTCTCTCCACCAGGATCGGGCCTTCTCCGTTTCTCGGTCGTTTTAGTAATGGAAAGTAGGAAGGGAGCCCCACAGTAGCCGTACTCGCGGCGCCCCGGAGTGCCCCGGGGCTCTGCCTGCAGCGTCCACCCGGTGCCATTTTGGGAGCCACTTCGGAGGTGGGGGCGGTGTGGACTCGCCCATTAGTTCATAGCTTTCATCTGCGGTCCGAGGGCCCAAGGCGCACGTGCGGTGGGTCTCCCCACCCCCCTGGGGGGCGGGGTCGTGCTCAGGACCAATGAGAGCTTGGGGGGATGGAGGGACAGGAAACTTCCAGAGGCTGATGGGGGGAGGAAGTTATAAGGAGGGGTACAGTCAAGCCAGCTGGCGAGTCATGCAGTCCAAGCGGGAGTGTGAGGTAAGTTATCTGGTTGCGAAGGGGCGGCACCTCCCTCCACCTGGGCAGCGCAAGGGACTTCAGAGGTCCCAGCTTCCTAGACGCGGAGGCGAAGGTGCGCTGAGCGGGCCACCGCTACCCTGCTCTTCCCTCAGCTGTGGTGCGAGAGGGTGAACCCAGAGAACAAGGCGGCGCTGGAGGCATGGGTCAGGGAGACGGGCATCCGACTGGTGCAGGTGAACGGGCAGAGGAAGTATGGCGGGCCACCCCCAGGTACGGTAGCCACAGCCCCTGCTCCCGCCGGGCCCTTCCAGCCTGGACGGCCGCGAGCAGCCCCTTTGGGGGGGTGGGGCCTACCCCGAGGGTCCACCATCCAACATCCCGGATATACAACCCCAGCAAATGGAGTCGCTCGTGAGCGCTCCAGCCACGCCACCCCACCCCCACCCCCGTGAGAGACGCCCAGGCTAAGGATGCACCCATTCGGAGCCAGCTCTGGAATTGGTTCAGTCAGCCAACGATGCTCCCGCAGCATAGATGTACCCATTTCACAGATATTTGCGTCGTCCCCTTTTGTGCTGGGTTCCTGGGCCCCGAACCCAGAGCGATGGAAGTGACGGCGCCGCTCCGCCCCCGCCTTTCTCCCCAGGCTGGGTGGGCAGCCCGCCGCCGGCCGGCTCTGAAGTGTTCATAGGGCGGCTGCCCCAGGACGTGTACGAGCACCAGCTGATCCCACTGTTCCAGCGCGTGGGCCGCTTATACGAGTTTCGCCTGATGATGACCTTCAGCGGTCTGAACCGCGGCTTCGCCTACGCCCGCTACAGCTCGCGGCGTGGGGCACAGGCCGCCATTGCCACGCTGCACAACCACCTGCTGCGGCCCTCCTGCCCCCTGCTCGTGTGCCGCAGCACCGAGAAGTGCGAGCTGTGCGTGGACGGGCTGCCGCGGAGTCTGAGCCACCACGCGCTGATGCTCGCGCTGCAGCCGCTGAGTGCCGGCCTCCAGGAGGCCCTGCTGCTGCCCAGCCAGGGGTCGGCGCCCACGCAGATCGCGCTGCTCAAGTTCAGCTCGCACCGTGCCGCTGCCATGGCCAAAAAGGCCCTAGTGGAAGGTACGGTATGAGACTATGCGGAGGCCGCTCGGAGCCAAGCCTGTGGGCGCTTAACACACATCGGCATAGTCAAATTTGCAAAATCCAAAGGGTCTAGTCTAGCAAACCTGATTTTGCCACTTTGATATCTGCCGGTTGATATCAACTGCCAGTTAACCCGGAACTACCAGGTTTTAACTTAACGCTGCAATGAAATGTAGCTCTGTTTCCTCCCTCTTTAGAACTGTTAATGAGTGGACTTGCCCAAAGCAGTCCTTATTTTCATCTTTTGTTAAAACCTGCTTCCTCACATAGGTGAGAAGAGGGTAATTTAGGACCTGGTACTTAGCACATTCCCTGGCTCATGGTAAACGCACTGCTGTTTGTGGAAGTAAGCCATTGTGATGGTAATGAAGCAGGCTAGCCTGAGTCTTTACTCAAAGGGAACTTAGAAAGCAGCATTATACCTTGTTTACAAACAGAGACTAGGAGACCTGGAGATGTTATTTAATCTGCCCAAGATCACGCTAGGTGGGAATAAGGAATTGAAGCCCAACCCCAGCTTGTGAGACTCCAAAGGGTTCACAGGCCCAGGGTTTAGATGTGCCCTTGTCCCCTGCCTTTATCTTACAGGACAGTCATGCCTCTGTGGAGAGCAGGTGACAGTGGAGTGGCTCAAACCAGACATGAAGCAGAGACTCCGTCAGCTCTCAGGCCCCTCACTGCAGTTTCCACAGTCAGAGGGGACCCCGTTGCCCTTGGCCAAGGATAAGCCAGGGCCTCATGGGGCCCGGGCTGCCCTGCAGCTGCTGTGCCACAGGATGAAGCTGGGCAGCCCTGTGTTCCTCACCAAGTGCTTGGGCATCGGCCCTGCTGGCTGGCACCATTTCTGGTACCAGGTGGTGATCCCAGGTCATGCAGTGCCCTTCAGTGGCCTCATTTGGGTTGTGTTGGCCCAGAATGGGCAAGATGGGCACCAGGTGGCCAAGGAAGCCGTGTCCGCAAAGCTGCTGGAGGCACTGAGTGAGTCCAGGGCCAGCCTTCCGTACTCTGCTGAGGCAGGTATCATGTTTAAGCAGTGACCCATCCTTTCTCCTCTCCACAGGCAGTCTGTGTCAGTCCTCAGCCCAGCAGGCCTGGGTGGCTACCATCAAAGCCCAAAGAAGGGAGGGGTACAGGCCTTGCCCCAGGCCTGATGCATATTCTCTGCTGGGGCAGAGCCCCACCATACCTCTGGGAAGGTGAGCAGCTCAAGTTTAGCTAAATTATGGTGAGAGACCTGGCCCTCTTCCCATCAAGGGTCTAACCTGACTTCTGAGCTCTCTTACCAGTCCTGTTTAACACACACTCTCCCTCCCTCTCCCCAACAGCGTAGCATGAATCTTTAACATTTTCTTAATCTGTCACTTTGGTTCGTTTTTATTTAGGGGCTGGCTGAGCCAAAGGATCCAAAACCTGGCTATTGCCCCCACTGCCTGGCATTCTGATTTTGGTTTATGTATAGTTGTAAGGTTTTCTATGCAGGTTGTATTTATAGTAACCCCCTGGTTGGTGTTTCTTGTGTTTGTGCTGTCTTGTCCCAGCTGAAAGCTTGTCTTCCTCACAATGATAGAGTGAGCAACTCGTACCTCCACAGCACAGTCCGGAGCCCTGGGCCTCTGCACCTTCCTAAGTTACAGAATAAAAAAGGAAAATTTTTAAAAATCTGTTTTCTGAGTCAATTCTGACTCTTGGTGACCCCATGCCTTCAAGAGTCACTGCTCCTTTAGCTTTTCTGGGCTGCCATCTTTACAGAAGAGTTCCAGGCTTTTCTTCCGCAGCACCACAAAGTGGGCGCTCACTGCCACCCACCCTCGTTGAGTGCACACGATGTACCACTCAGGCCAAGCGCACAGAGGCACTGTCCACACACAAGCTCATGAGATCCAGCCTGCTGAGGGAGGTCTGGTCCTGATGTGGCGCATGCCCTCAGTCACTGTCCTCACTCTCCTCTTCTCCCAAAGTCCTGGGATCTTCTTCCTCCCTCAGCCCTGCAAAGAAGTCATCGGGGCTCCAGGCCTTGCTGCTCAGGCCCCGCAATGGTCCTCCCTTTTTCTTGCGTTGACGGTAGTCATTTACCACCACAGCCTGCAGCTGTGTCATGTCCCAGAATTTGAGGCGCTGGTCGTGACCACTGCTGGCCAGGAAGCGGCCACAGTGGGAGAGGGCCAGCTTCTCCACAGGCTCCCCAGCATGCTGGCCGATACTGCCTACCACCCGGTTTGGTAGGATGTTCACAGCCCTGGGGGAGGGGAGGGGGGAGAAGAGTGTTGATATACTGGCTAGTTGGGTCAGCTTGCCCTTCAGGAACCAGAGGGCCCTCCAGGCTCCCCTCACCTGATGACTCCGTCAGTGGAGCCTGTGCACAGTAGACTCTCAGTGACAGGGACCATGCAGTCGATGGACTCTGCTCTCAGGGCAAAGCGGTCACTCGTGGCCCCAAAACCATCCCAGTTGAAGAGGTAGATGGTGCCTTCACTAGAGCCGCAGGCCACCTTCTTCCCACACTTACAGGGAGAAAGGGAAAACTGGGTCTACGGGGCCAAGCCTCTAGCACACAAACCCCCCAGCCCCATCCCATATCCAGCTGTACCTTCATGAGCGTGACAGAAGTCAGGTCCCCAGACTGAGGCTCTGACAGCAGCTCAAACCGGCGCCGCTTAATGTTGAAAACGCCAAGGCAGCTGTCCCCACTGTGGAGAGCAATGCAAGACACTAAGCGTGACCAGAAGCTCCCTTTGAGGGAGACATGTAACAGGAGGAGGCAGTGCTAAGTTGTACCTGGCTGTTAGCAGCAGCTTCTTAGCTGGGTCCAGAGCCATGTCAGCAATGTATTCCTCATGCTGCCGCATATCCATCAAGGGGCCCTCCTTCCGTTGGTCCCAGAGCCGGACACCACCTGTGTCGTCCCCAGTAGCCAGCACATTCTCATCCACCAGCAGCAGACTGTTGATAGGTGCACTGAGGACACAGATGTAAAACCTTTCCAAGCATCTCTGTCTCCTTAGGAACCCCCCTGCTCCTCACCACCTATGCACATGCACCTGCATAGTTGGCTCCCCTTACCCATGAGCCTTAGAAATGCGCCTTTCCAGTTGGCCTCGCTCCACATCTAGAATATGGATGGCTTTGTCCTTCGAGACAGTGACAAGTTCTGGGAGGGAAAAGATGCCCAGATCATGGTGCTATTCACGGATCCCTTCCCAACACCACACTGCCGGCTACCTTCCCACTACTCACTTTGCCCATCTTCAGAGAAGACCACAGCCCGGCAGGACTTGAGGTGGTGGCCTGAGGACCAGAGCTCCTTGGTTTCTCCCTCTTGGCAGGAGTAGGAAAATCTGGTGGGGATGGGAAGGGAGGCTTTGAGAACCCCAAATCTCCCAAATGGGGACCAACTAGACCATCCTTCCACCTCTTCCACCCACCTGGAGTTCCTGCCTGCCCACCTCCAAGCCCATGGTGCTTATCTCATTTTCAATGAGCTTCAAATGCTAGGTCATTCTTTCAATGTACATTAATTCAAAGTGCATTTGTTCAAGGTCTCTTCATGACCTCCTTCCCACCCAACCCCTCTTTCATACTTGAATGCCCAACCTGGAGAAAAGTGTGGGTATGAACCAATGGAGACAGAAATGACTGGTAAATTCATGACAATAGGCCAGGCCCAGAAGGTGAATATATAAAAATCAGTAGGATTGGTCTCCAGGTCTGCAAGAGCAAGCCACAAATAATTACAGCACATTGTGATCAGGTGCTGAAAAAAAGGGGTGGGATCAACAGAGGTGGATCAGAGAGTACCTGATCAGAGAGCTGACAAATTGGAAAGAATTCCTAGTGCCTACTTCAGGCCAGACCCTCAAAAAGGGCCAAAAGTGTCATTAACAGTAAACTCCAAGGCAGCAAAACTGGATGTACTGATTTCCCTGTGCCTAACACATGAAAACCCATGCTTAATCAACATCTACAAATTGAATGAATGCTTGTGAAGGGAGAAGAGAGCACTGGAAAGCAAATTAAGGGTGGGGGGTGTGTGTGTGTAAATCAAAGTTTTGAAAATCACCTGGCTGACATCAGTCTGCCAGGGCAGAGACAAGGAACGGAGAGTCAAGCGGCAAGCTAGTGGCATGGATGAATCAGAGGTTGAGCTGGGCTGGAGACCACGTGAGCCACACAGAAGTCTGAATTTAATCTTAGGGGCAAAAAAGATCTCTTCAGAATGGTCATTGGGAGAGAAGTTAGGGGCCCGTCAGAAGGCAGTGACAGGGTAGAGATGGGGAGATCTAAGAGATGTATTCAAGAGTCTTTGAGATAATAGTACTTGGTGACTGAGGCAATTGGGGGTGGGGTGTGACTGACACTGTAAATATAGGTAGAAGCACAAGGGAACCAACATTTGCTGAACTGTACTCAAGCACTATACCACTTTGTAAGATAAGCATTAGTATTCTCATTTCCAAATGGATTTGGGGCTTCTGTTATCCATAGCCTTCTGCAAACCAGGTGTTCCTAATTTAAATTCTGGTGTCATTTCCTCTTTCAGATTTGGATTTTATTACTTACAATTCTTGGATCACACAGACTGGTGTGCTTCTTCCATATGACCTTAGTTGATGGCTCCCTTAGATGACTACTTATTTGAAGATAAACCCTTAAGACCCCGTACACTTTTTTCTGATAGCCTGGCACCATCTGCTTTTTTTGCCACACTTTGCTATAGTACCCATATCTTCAGTGATCTCTTCATGAGGGCAAGTATAGGTCAACAATTTTTTTTACAAGTGTAATTCAATGACTGATACATTCATGTTGTGCAACCGCTATTGTCAGGTGCCATCAAGTTAATTCCCATTCAGAGCAACCGTTATGTACACCAGAACACAACACTGCCTGGTCCCATGCCATTCTCACTATTCTTATGTCTGAACCCATTGTTATAGCCACGATGTCGATACAACAATGAGTGAGCTACTTTACCAAGCATGGTGTCCAGGGACTGATTCTTCCTGATGACATGACCAAAGTAGGGGAAGCAAGTGTTACCACCCTCCAAGGAGCATTCTGGCTGTGCTATTTCTCAAACTGATTTGTTTGTTCTAGCAGCCCATGGTATATAGTCTGTATTGCCAACCATTACCACCGTCCCTTTCAGGATTATTCCATGATCAATAGCAAATTCAGTGGCCCCTAAATAGTAACTCCCTTTCCTCTCCTTATAATACAAGTAATAAACTTTGGTTTCATCTAAGTTAGATCATACAGTATTTTTCCTTTTATATCTGACATCATTCAGTATAATGTTTTCAAGCTTCATCTATGGCTCAGTAATATGTATATGCATTTTGTTCATCCTTTCATTTGTTGATGGACATTTACGGCAGGTTTCTACCTTTTAACTGTCGTGTAGAGTGCTGCCATGTACACTAGTGAACCACTGAAGAGTTTTTAATCAAGGAAGTCATCAGATGTCTGCTTGTGAAAGATTAACGGGGGATGGAAGGAAACTATAGGGCCCTGCTGAACCTGTCCTAGCAATCCAGTGTGAAACAGAATTTGCCTTAGACTCACTCTTGACCTGCTACAGACTGTCTGCTATGATATTCCAGAATCGCTGGCTTCCTTTCAGTTCTTGTAAAATATTTCTATTCAGTGTTTTACTGACAAGAAGTCCTAGTGATAAACTGGTTAAAGTTCTTGGCAACTAATTGAAAGGTCCGCGGTTCGAACCTCCCAGCCACTCTGGGAGAAAGCTGTGGCAGTCCACGTCCATAGGTATTGACAGCCTTGTAAACCTTAAGGGGCAGCTCCACCCTGTTTTACAAAGTCGCGAAGAGTAGGAATCGACTGGCGGAGTAGGGGCTTTGATTTTGTTTTACTGGAAGCCAAATGTCCTTGAAAGTATCGGGGTTCTTTAGTCTTGAAAGCTTGGTCTCCCCGCCCCGCCCCAGCTCCACCCCCAGGGGTTACCTAGGCCGGGTAATCCCGCCCCGGCCTCGCACTCACACGAACACGTCCCCGTCCACATCCCCCGCGGCCAGTAAGTCGCGCGCGGGGTGGAACGCCAGGCCGCTGGCCGGCGCCTCCAGCACGATGTCCTCCGGGGTGTCCCGGGTCGGGGGCGGCGCCTCCGCGGAGTCCCCATCTTCCCCGGCGCTCCCGCGCGCGGCAGGCTCCTCTTCACGTGCCGCTTCCATGCTCCCGGGAGCCAGCAGCTCGTCTCGAGAGCCTCAGCAGCACCAGCCCCGGAGGCGGGGCGACGGGGAGGGCGGGGCCGGAAGCGGCGCGGGAGCTTCCGTCGCCTAGAAACGACGGCGCCCGTCTCGGCTGCCGAGGGAGCAAGCCGGATGCTGCTCTCCCGAGGTTCGGGGCCTCCTTACTGTGCCGGGACCGGTGTTCGGTTGGGCTAGCCCGCGTGACCTTCCGTCCTTTCCCACACCTCTGCCATCCTGAGGGCTGAATGGACGCTTTCGCCACCTTTAAAGAGGACTTCATGCTGTTGGAAGAGCAGAGATGGACGCCTATCTTTCGCGGCGTCGTGGAACCCACGGTGGTGACGAGCAGCAGTGAAGGGCATCAGGAGGCAGCTAAAGGGCACGCTGTGAGAAGACAGTATGTGGCGTCGTGGACGTCAGGCGACTCACCACACGCTCAACTGCTGCTATTGATCGTCAATAGCATGGTAGCCAAAGGAACAGGGGGCACCCCTTCCTACTGGTTGGCGCCAGATGCTCAGTTTGACAGGCTGGCAGTGCTCAGAGCTGGTGAGCAGTTGCTGAAGGGCTAAATAGGCACGAGTGACAGTCTAGACCTCCCAGTTAACAGACGTTCCACAAAATGAGAGCATTCTGCAGGGAGGGAGGGAAGGAGGGAGGAGCATGTGGCCCAATAGCTGGCGAGAATCAGTTGTGCTAGGCCTTCTCAAGGAGCTCAGGTGGCATAGTAGGTAACCTGTCGGGCAGCTACCCTCAAGGTCATTAGGTTAAAACCACCAGCTGCTCCGAGGTAGAAAGGTTAGGCTTTCCATTCCACTAGAGTGGAAACCAACATGGACCAGTTCTATCCTGCCCTATGGAAGTGAGTTTTGTAAGATGTTATTGCTCACCATTTTTAAGCGAGGCGGGGAGTGAGGGGCGGGTCTCTCAGAGAGGTTGTAAGTCCATTGTGTATTGCTGCATGTGTCTCACAAAAGCTGTAGTGTGGTATTGGAAATGCTTGTCACTCTAACCAGAGGGTGTTGGTGGCTTCCATAAGGCTTAGTGGTACTTTCCAAAAGGAAATTGTAGTCAATTCTCAGGTATTCCTCCTAGTAACCCTCTAGGTGTATTATGAGCCATTTCTCTTGTGACTTTTTCCCTACAACTCTGGAACCAGTTTACTGTCTGAAATTAACTACCTTATGGAACAACTCCATGGAGTCCTGGGGGGTGAACTGATTGGGTTACAAACCATAAGGTTGGCAGTTCAAACCTACTAACCACTCTGCAGGAGAAAGAAGAGGACTTCTACTCCCAGAAAGGTTTGCAGCCTCGGAAACCCACAGGGACAGGTCTACTGTGCCCTATAGGACCACTATGACTCAATGACCGTGAAGGAGAGCAATTCTACTCTTATAGAACTAATGGGGAAAAAACACACTGAGTATTCCCAGCTATGAGATGATCAGATAATCACATGTAGTGTTGTAGCTCTCCCACCTTTTCCGTCTCTGGGGCTGTAGCGTATTACTTGAATGGTCCTGTTTTTGAACCTGTGAATTTCAGCCAGTAGTGACATTATCAGTGAGAAATTACACCTGCTTAGGTAGAGGTGGCAGAGAGAGCTTCAAAGTGCATCGCTCTTGTGAGACTGGGAAGTTTTCATAATAGTAAGAGCCTTGAGCTTTCCCCAGCCCTTCACTACCTATTGCCTATTTCCCCAGAGTTGGTTCTGTCATCATGGTATTTATAAATTATAAGGTCTTTGTAAATTAGGGCTATTAGCCTTTTGTTAAATGATCGGCAGGTATTTTTCCATGCAAAAGTTAATATTTAAGTGGTAAAATTTCCCAATTTACTATTTGCTGCCTATGGATTGTAAATCGAACTTAGACTTGTCCCCTCTCTCATGAAATACAAGTATACAAGTCCTCTAAGACTTCTCATTTTTTACATTTAGATCTCAGCTCCTCCCTGACCTTTGGTAACAAAAAACCATGACCTTTTTCTCCTGAAATAAGTACTGGTACATGGATGAAGTGAAAACAACAAAAGCACTTAAGTCTCCGAGTAGTGCAGATGGTTCATGCACTTGGCTGTCATCGGAATGATTGGAGATTCCTTTCCCAGTGGCACCTCAGAAAAAAAGGCCTGGACTACTTATTTCCCCCAAATGCACCACTGAAAGCCCCATAGCATAGAGTGCTGCTGACACGCAGGGGGTCGCCATGGGTGGGTCAACTCCAGAGCAATGCGTTTTCCAAGGTGGAAGTGCTTAAAGTAAGGTGACCAGATTTTAACATTGATAAAGTGTGACACCATTGATAAAATTCATATCCTGGCGAAATAGCCACATGGCAGCCGAAAACCATATACCTTAGCTTGTCGTGCATTCTTTCCAAAAATCAGGATTTTTAAAACGCCGTGGAACGCAGGAAAAATTGTTAAAAATCAGTACTGTCCCACCAAAAGTGGGACGTCTGGGCACCTTACGCCTAGACCACCCCATCATTGCTGTGTAACCTATAGTGCAACCCCTTCCTGTGATGTCTTTACCTGTAATTAGTGGACTGGCACGCCCCCAAAAGGTATATAGGCCTGGGTTAGCAATAGAGATCCTCTTCCCCCCTCTCCTGTCCTGTTTCCCTTTCCCCTCTCTCCACATGGACCACCAAGCAGGACTGAGGTGAACAATGCTACCATGAAATGTGTCTGACTCCATTATTGTAATATCTCTCATGCTCTCGATGACTTTAATACTTATATATCTCAACCGTACAATTGTGCTTACTGGACCTGTGGTTAGTGGTGGGGGCTAGCCACCTCACCTAAAACCACACCTATTATCAAGTCAATTCAGACTCATGGCGACCCTAGAGGGCATGGTAGAACTGCCCCTGTGGGTTTCCAAGACTAACATCGATGGTAGTAGAAAGCCTCGTCTCCTGTGGAGTGGCTCATTGTTTCCAACTGCCGACCTTGAGGTTAGCAGCTCAAGGCGAACTAAACCAGCAGGGCTCCTGGTAATGAACAGAGAGGAGGAAAGCAGCAGAGAAAAGGATGGGTGAAATAATCAAATTCAGGAAGGCCCTACACTGGGAAGGGAAAACAATGTTTAGAGTGCTGAGGGACACCACGCAAGATCATTCTCTGGAAGTGATTTTATACAACCTGTAGAATTGGCTCTCTCAGTGTTCAAGGGGCTCTGGAGAGAAGATGCTCAACACAGAAAATACGACCGCAGGTTAGCCAATTTTAATGGAACTAAATGATCATACAAAAAATTATACACATTTGAAATAAAAGTAAACTGTCCTAGAGTCTTTCCAGGAACTGTGGCGAGACAGCAGTGGAGAATACATCCGTGCAGTGATTATTCCTGAAGATGGAGCTGGAGATTAGTATTTTGGTCTTTTGACTTCAACCCTGAAATAAAAGGAGAGATGGGTCAACCTAAGGTCCATACCCTAAGCAACTCCCAATCAGTCAGAGAATGCTGTGTCTCACCCATCAGCTTCCATCTTCTTCCTCTTCTCAATGATCTACAAAGAGCAGAGATCGTTGATAGGCATACAGCCAGTCTAAGCTCACCCCTCACACTCCCGCCACGCCAACCCTCTGCCTGTTTCTAGGTCTGTGCACCAGTGGCTTCTCTGAACTGGAGTCCTCCCACTCTGGTGCGGTCCCACTTACCGCACTAATCTTCTTCCACTGGCGATCCAGCTCTGCCTTGTCATTGGTTTCTTTGAAGCGTCTGGTTTTCCGCCCTTCAGACATCTTGATGCCATACTGGAATGCAGCCCTGCGAACACAAAGGGTGGTTGGGAAAAGGCCGTAGAAGGCGCACAGCAGTTACAATGTATTTCCAGAGGGTCCTATGGGTAATCTATTGGGGAATGTCTCAACCAGACTGCACCCTCTAACTTGGGATAAGCCAGGGGCCCCCACCCCGCCCATATTCAGTAATAGTACTCACTTAGGCAAAGCCTCCTTGTTATTCATGTACTCGCTGTATTCCTCCTGGGTATCAAAGTCCCAGCGACCTAGCGGGCCCTTCTTGTTACCCTGTTGCAGGATAGAATGGAGGCATGAGGAAAGAGATGCCAGTTTAGTAGTGATTAAAGTCAGATTGTCCCACAACCAGCTTTCACCATTCCTCAGTCTTATACAAATCATACTTGTTATTGCTTAGCACGCGTTTACTCTGAACACAGATCATATTTAACTCTCAACACAAAACCCTGTAACATGGGAACTATATGTTCCTCCACTTTCCTGTTGAAGAAACGGACGCATAAGCACAAAACCAGGATTAGACAAGGCTCCATGGTGGAATTAAGCCATGCTTGTAACGATTGCAGTACACTGCAAACGAGGAAAGGAGATGAAAGCCCTTTACCAGTAGTGTTTTTTAAAACTTCAAGGAAAATTCCATCCTGGCTAGAATAAAATTACGGAGGTCACTTCTGAAGACTGCAATTCTTTCTATCCTTTCTCCTTATGCATTAAATGATTGCTTACTGGCTACTGCAACAAAACCTTGCACTTTTTTGTAGTCAGTAAAATATATATAGATTTGGGCCTTAATTTAGTTATTCTTGTGCACACACTTTAAGATTTAAGCTGCTGCTCTTAATCCTGCACTACAGTGGGGCCAAGTTAATGAGATACAGATGATTTGGGGTAGGGTAAGGAGCCCTAGTGGCATAGTGATTATACGTTGGGCTGTGATCCGCATGGTTGGTAGTTCAAACCATGAGCAACTCCAAGGGAGAAAGAATGGGCTTTCTACTCCCGTAAACAGTTACTGTCTCAGAAACCCACAGGGGGTCACTGAGACAGCAGATTCAATGGCAGTGAGTGAGAGAGGGAGTCAGGTTGTGCTAAAGAGTAACTGCCAAATAGCCACTCAGTCTTCTAATGCTGTACCTGGTCCATTTTGCTGTAGTCCACTTCCTCATCACTGTCCACCGCCATGTCATCCATTCTAAAGAAAAGCAACAGTTAAAGAGATGCTGCAGACCCAGATGCCTACACTTATTCCAGAAACCCACCCAACTATGCAGTTATATGCCTAGGAATGACTACCTCCCAAGAGGTCCTGGTGGCACAATAGATTAAGCACTGGGCTGCTGACCAAAAGGTTGTGGTTCAAGCCCGTCAGTTGCTCTGTGGGAGTAAGATGAGCCGGTCTACTGCTGTAAATAGTCTCAGACACTCTATGGACTAATTCTACTCTGACCAGTAGGGTTGCTTTAGGTCAGAATTGACTCAACAGCAGAGGATAAACCACGTCACTCAAACTCCCATCCAACTCACAATCTAACAAAACACTTCACCAAGCAAGAAGTTCCCTTGAATCTAGGCAAATCAAATTTCCACCCCACTCTTCAACTTGTTCTCAGTTATCCGAGCCTCCCCTCCTTAACAGGATCTTACGTACGTGGCCGGGTAGCATTCTGCGTAACTGTTAGACATGCCGAAGAAATCTCCCAGCTGCTTTTTGTCTTCCGGCTTCTTCAACATATGTTATGTTAAAGAAAGTACTAGAATTCCACCTACCTAAGGATAGCTTCAGGCAGAAGGAGCCAAGGGCCAGAAGATTCAACATGAGAACTCTTGAGAAAAGCTGTGAACTAAACAGTCCTCTAGGGAAAGGGAAAGGCATGGTCTCATCCTTTTCAAAACCCAGGAGGGAAGGAGTGAGTGGGATGGGGAGAAGGCAAAGCTGGGAAGCAGGTGGAGTGGAAATCCATCTTCTTGGACCCAGGGACATATCGGAATAAAGGATATGATTCAGTGCCATCCCAACCAGCAGATCCGGCAAATTTCTCATTGATGGACTTGATTAACTCTTTAGCAGATCCAGGCCCTGGGGGTGGGGGGGTGGCGGAAAAACACTGTTCAGACTTGGAACCTCAAGAATCTCACATCCTACTGCCTACAATATACTACCAGCTTGTGGCTTACATCAAAACATTTTTTAAGCAGCTGGGCCCTGTTAGCTAACAAAATTTTAATCAAACTCCAAATATTGAGCTATTCCGATTGAGATAGGGATAGGATGCCCATTTACGCTTATTCAGCCTCTGCCTCACCTTCTCAGAACCACAGGGCTAGAGGCATATCTACCAAAGCCAATATATCTAGCTATTTCCCAAGGAGTGGGAGGAAGCTCCAGACTATTCTGTAAAGCAAGACCGGCTCTTAGGAAGACCCACACCGGCTCAGCTCTTGAGTCGGGGGCAGAGCTGGACTGCAATGCTGTGAACATACTCACCTTTGTCGACGTCCATGGGCTGGAAAGAAACAAAGCAAAGTGAGCATCACCGTGAAGGATTCCCCCCTCATCCCTTCCCCAAGCCCGAATCAATTTCCCACTCCATCTTGACCCCAGTTCTAGGCTGGTTCCTACCCTGGGAGGGTGTGAGCCACAAGAGGTTTCAGTCATATAGAAGGGTCTTGTACCTGGACTGGGCAGGCCTAGAAAAGGCCATCTCTACCACCCACTACCATTAGCTTACCTCATCGTCTACTTTCGGCTTCTCGAAGTAGCTGTGCCTCTTCTTCTCCTCCTCTCGCTCTCTGTCCCGCTCCCTCTCCCGTTCCCGCTCTCGCTCCCGCTCACGATCTCTGTCTCGCTCTCGATCCCTCTCTCGTTCCCGATATCTCTCCCGCTCCTTATCCCGAGGTGTCTTAGTCGTGGAGGGCACGTAATCACCAATATCTTCAAAAATGCTGGGAAAGAAAACACCATTAACTGCCAAAGTCACACACAACTTCCACTCCCCGGCCATTTCTCCACATTCAAAGACCAGCACTCCCCAAAATGCCCTGAACCAAGAAATTTAGATCCCCGTCTCCTTAGTTCAAGTGACAGGCGCAAGGGCACATACTTCATATCCGCTTCAGGGGGCTTCTTCTCTTCCAGCTTCCCTAATACGTAAAGAGAGAAATGAGAAAAAGCACCCTGAGTTCGTGCCCACTCAGCCTCACCATCCCCTCCAGTTCTGAAGGCCCTTTAAAGCATTTCCAGCAGAATAAGCAACAGCGTCCCACATTATCGCTTCTCCTGCCTCGAATCTGACTACTGCTTATTCAGTCAGCCACACAAGCAGCCAAGGGCTCAATTGCTTCCAGTTTACTCTGCTCCCTAAGAGCTTCCCAATGTCCTGGGGTCCACGGCTCCTGGAGACCTTGGTTCCATTCCCAAGTGGTCCTTCCCAACCCGCCGGGTACCTTTATCCTTCTTCTTGAGCTTCTTGTTCCGGGTACCCTGCCTCAGGTAGGAAAGGATCTGGGTGAGCTTGCTGATGACGATGTCATTTGTGGTCAGGGTGGTCTGGGCCTGAAAACCCGAAGAAGTGAGAGTGTTATCCCAAAGAACAGGTGTGTCTTCATTCATTCATTCACTCACTTAAGGGCAGACCGATGAAAGAGCATGCACAAAAGCCCTAGGGCACATACAGGTGGAAAACAAACACCAGGAGGCGGGGTGAAGAACCATCTGGAAAGGCTCGTTCCTCATTAAGCCAAAATAAAGATTTTGAGATTTATGCTAAGAACAATGAGAAACCATTGACAGCTTCTAAACTGTAATAGACTACCATAATCATTCAGTAATGTGTAAAAAACCCTTCTGGCAACAGATTAGGAAGGTTGGTAAGAAAGAAATTTCTTCTGGGGAGAAGAAACATATTTTAAAATTAACTGTGGTGATAATTACAAAATTTTAATATATTAAGAGCTACTGGATTGCTCCCTTTAAAGGGGAGATATGTATGGCATTCAATGAAACTGTTTGGGGGAAAAAACACCTTGAAAGACAGCTTGAGTGGAAGTGGGGAAACCAGTGAGGAGCCTCTTCCAATAGGCCCAGTAAGAAACGATGGCTTCGACAGACATACCAATGAAGGGGCGTAACAGATTTAAGGGGCACAAAGTCAACAGAACTTGATGGACTAAATGTGGGAAAGGCTGATGCCCAGATTTCAGGCTGATGTGACGGCGCCTCAGGACACTCACTTCCATGGTAGGACAATCAGCCTTGCTGCGGATAAGAGTGGTGGGGATGTCTGTATCAGCATACTCGTCATCCAGGTCCACCACATAGGCCATCCGGCCCGGCAGGAACAGCTCATTCCTCTCGTACGCTTTGCTCTTAAAGAGCATGCGGTAGACATTGCGGCCTACGAAGAGGGAAGAGTAGTAGGCAATCAGAATCTCCCACAATAGCAGCTGCCACTTATTGTCATCTTCAGTGCTTGCTTTATGCCAGCCACCATGCCAAGTGCTATGCATGCTGCGCTTCGTTCAATTTTCGTAAGTCCTATGAGGTGGGCAGTATTCTCCCCTCTTCACGCATAAGAACACGAAAGCTGATCTGCCTGAAGTTATATAGTAACAAGTGACAAAGAAAAGAACCCCGGCGGTCCAAAGTCTGGGCTCCTATCCACTTCTACACTGTCTATATGCTCTAAACATGCCTAGCATTTTTTTGAGCTCTGCTAGCCTAGTGGGTTAAGTATTGGGCTTCCAAAACTATAATTCATGCTTTATTAATTATAGAAGGAATACAGAAGACTCATGTTTCCTCCCTTGGAGTGGCTAGTGGTTCTGAACTGCTGACTTTGTGGTCAGTAGCCCAACATGTTAGTACTGAGCTACTGACCACAAAATTGGTAGATCAAGCCCATCAGCTCACTCCATGAGAGAAGGATGAGGCTGTCTGTCTGTGCCTATAAAGATTTAAGTCTCAAGAAGCCCAAAACACAGTTCTGTTTTATCCTACAGAGTCCCTATGAGTCAGAATCAGCTGAATCGTGTGTGTGCGTGTGTGCGCGCGTGCGAAGTTTAAAGTAATACATGCTACATGACAGGATCATTATGTTTCTTCTTTCTCTTCATCCTTATAATGAAGTAAAGACTGACTCCATTTTTTTTTTACTCCATTTTTCCATATGAACAAACAGGTCGTGAGAAGTGAAGACAAGTGCCTAAAACCACACACTTAAGTTTTCATTATCAGGATTCAAACCTACGTGCCTCTGACTTCATTGTGAGCTGTTAATCCCTACCCATGCCTTCTGCCTTACTACAGAAGAGAGAACGGTGGGCCTACACCGAGGAGACACCAGAGACAGGAGGTAATTCAGTCCCGATCTGGGATGGAGTGAAGCACTGTGTGAGAACTTGGTGGTGTGGCAGCAGGAGAGAAAGAGAGGACTGGCAGCTGCAGGCGAGAGAAGCACACCCTGCCAGAGCACGAATCTCATACGCTACACCTACGAGGTGCAGCCACCGGTGCAGAGATCTGCTACTCACCCAGACGGGTTTTAAATTCAATCTTATTTTCAGGATCTTCATCTTTCCTGAGAACACAAGAAATACATGTTTGTTAATCGTGCTCCTACTGTAGGTCGCATTCTTCTCAACTCTCCAGCCCCCACTGATTTGTCTTACTTGGTTTCCTTCTGGGGTTTTTCCATCAGCTCCTCCTCCTCTTTCTCTTTGCTGGCAATCTCAGCTCGGACCTATCAGGAAAGCATGTCAGTCTTTGCTATTTTTATGTATAGTTACTTAACACCCACCATAGCCGGGGTACAGTATTAAACAAGAGAGACATGGTCCTTACCCTACTGGAACTTACAGCAAGAAAGGCAAGTTAACCAAGTAAGTGCAAGAAAGGGAGGGGACTGCTATGATGCAGAATGTAGACAGGCTCTGCAAGGGGGCAGGAGGCAGGGGGACCTCCTCAGACCTGGGTGATCAAGGAAGTACTTCTCAAGGAAATAATACGTAGGCTGAAATGTGAAGGGTGAGTAGCAACTGCTCTTACCAAGAAGCTAACTTTAGCCCTTCTTCTAGATCAGGGTAGGCAACTTTTTTTGTGGGGAGGGGTACTTATAACATCATTCACACACCATTCCATGACCAGAAATGCTTCTCTGGGGAGGCATGTGCTATTAGCTAGTACTGATGATTTTATGGCCCTTTTATGGCCCATGGGCTGGACATTCCCCACCCCAGTTCTAGAGAGTCTGAGCCACCAGAAGGCACCGCGTTCCCCAATTCCCAGAGCTCACTGGAGGACATTCAGCATCGGACTACGGTGATCCACACATCCATGAAAGCTTACCTTCTGAAGCAGAGCAAAATCCAAACCTTTCACCAAATGGGTGTGTTCCATGTCACCACCCAAGAATTTGGACTCTTGAATCAACTGTCTTCTCTTCTCTGCAGCGGACTTGTCCCTGGAACGAACAGGGTGCATTCGATTAGTCCTTTGTGAATGGCAAGTGTCTCTTAAATGGCTTAAGGGTTCCAGGGTGGGGCAAGTGTGGAGAAGTATTTTCCTCAAGACTGGATGACTGTGAGATGCTGTGGGAGCCATGCCCCAGCCCAGTGGGTACTCACGCCTCAGCAGTAGGGCCCACGGCCCTATAGTTAGCTGTGGTACTGATGAGCTCAGTTTCCTCGTAATCTTTGTTCACACCATCTCTTCGCTCCTTGGCACGGTCCCGATACTTCTCAGCCAGCTCCCGCTCTCGCTCAATTTCTTGCTGGCGTAGCTTGGCATAATAACTATGGGCAGAGAATATAGGCTATGTAAAGCTTACTAATGGCTATCCCAAGATTAGCAGAATCCTTATCTCCCCAGCCAACACTGCATGGTAAAGGCTACCCCAGAGTTGGTTCCAACCCAGAGAAACCATGAAGGACAGCGTGGAGCTGCTCCTTTGGGTTTCAGAGACGGTCCACCTTTCCGGGAGCAGATAGGCGCCTTTCTTCTGCAGAGTGGGTTAGCGGTTTTGAATGGCTGACCTTGTAGCTAGCAACCCACTGCTTATCCCACAGTGTCACCAGGCTCCCCAAAAGCTACATATGAAATGAGAAGGCCGCGGTCACCTCAAAATCAGAACTACAGCAGCTGCCAGCTCGGTTTCAGGTCCACTGTGGACACTTGAGACTTCAGAACCCTTTGATGCCCTCGACTCTATATCCCTCAGTTTTTACAGGTACAAGACTTTTTCTACACAATAACCAGAATGTCATCTGAATTTCTGTTACTTTGTAACTTTCAGCTGGAAATCACTCAATCTCTGCTGGTCCACCCCAAGAATAGAGGAAAAGCTATGTCCAGGACCAGAAAGTTTTACGTGATATAAATGACAGTCATAGCAATGGCAGCAGCCAAGATTTACTGGAAAATTGCTGTAAGTCAAGCACTGGCACTAAGTGCTTCAATGCACCACCTCAGATGAGCCTCATGACCACCTCATTTTATTTTATTTTTTAACTTGCAGAACAAATCCATTCTCCAATAATTCATATATTTCACGGACTGCGATTTCCACAGTATTACTTATCCCACTTTATTCCTGTGTTTCCTGCTTCCATTTCTCCTCCTCTCCTATCCCTCCCAGCCTTCTGAATTTTGTCCTTGGGGAAATGTTGCCCTTTTGATCGCAAATGATTAATTATTCTAAGGAGTATGTACTTCTCTGGTGTTGTTATCATGTAGAACTCTCTATGGTTTGTCTGAACCTAGAGCCATGGGGGTAAGTTCCTCTAACAACCTTATGTTAAGAGTTATTTTCACTACTCTATTCTATCCATGAGAAAATTAAGGATTAAAAAAGATAAGTTAACATACCACAGTTTACCAAACTAGGACTGGAGAAGCTTAAGTTAGAGCAGAGGCAGGCAGACTCCAAGGTCCCCTAACTTATCACAACTCACTGAAACCTCCAGAACCTCAAGACAACAAAGGAAAATCTGTCTGGAGCCTCTTGGCTACTCCTTCTCCTCAAATTTTATCCACCTTAAAAGGCATCTCTCAGTGGGCGGGGGGAGGAGATAAAAAAAAGGCATTTCTCCCACTCTCTTCACCTTTTCTTTTTTCTCCTTCGTGCGGCTGGATCTTCATCCTCATTGTACTCCCTTGGCATCCTAGGAGAGACAAGGAATTCACTGAGCAAAATACTGGCGAGCCTCAGGAAGGAAACGTATGGACTACAGAAAAGGCTAGAATACTGATGAAAGCAGCAGTTTCAGTCAGGCAGAGGTTCATGTTCATGGCTGGAGATGAGTGGTTCTCGAACTGTAGGGGTCATCACAACTACCTGAAGGCACTACTAAAATTGTTATCACCAGTGTCTACCAGTCTGAGCCCATGGGGCTAGGAGTCTAGAAACCTGTGCCCTTCATCAGCATGTCAATGACTCACTGAAAACATCCTGAAACCCAGAGAATCCAGAGCGTTCCAGGCTCCGCCGGAGCCTGTGTTCAGAGGAAGGAAATCAGAGCCACAAGCACACACAAAAGGACCGTCCTGCCAGCTTCTAAGACGTTATGGCTCAGTAGGTTTTCTGTAGAAAAGAGTCGCGATGAGCCAGGAAGGAACTGGGACACAAATGAAAGCTTCACAGGACTTACTCATGGTGCCGTGACTTAGAGGGTGGTGCAGATGTGGGTGCAGTCCTTGGGGTCATAAGAAGTTTCCTAAAGTCTTCATTGGTGAGTTTTGATCTAAAAGAAATGTCAAAGAGTCAAAAATCCAGTAATACGAAGTGAAACTGGGATATGCAAAAGCATAATTGTACTTGAAATCAGAAAAATGCAAATTCACACAAAGACATATCTCTTAATGAATCAGAATGGTAACTATTAAAAAAATTTAATTAGTCAATATGAGTAAGAATCTGGGGAATGGTCCCTCTCATACCCGGTTGTTGGGAATGTAAATCTGTATAGCCAATTTAGTGGGTAATTTGGCTGGATTTATTAAAATTCATATTTCTCAATAACCCCGTATCTCTATACAAAGGGCTTTAAAACATTTGTGGGAAAATTCCATTTATCTTTTTTTTTTCTTTGTTGTTGTGGTGGTGGGTTTTTTAAAATAATTTTATTGGGGGCTCGTACAACACTTATCACAATCCATACATACATACATTGTGTCAAGCACATTTGTACATTTGTTGCCATCA